GGGTTGTATTAGGGTTATATTGGAATATGTGGGGATAATGGAAAAGAAAATGGAAACAACTATAGTATATTTGGGGTTATATGGGGATAATGGAAAAGAACATGGAAACTACTAGAGTTTCGGGGTTGACTTAGACGTCCCAGAGGCGGGCAGTATATATATATATATATGTACATTTATATGGGCTTATGTAGGGGTTACAGGGATGTATTAGCCCACAAGTGGAGAGTCAAATAACAAAGGATATGGAACATGAAACGGACACTGGGTTTATCGTGCTTTTTGAGGATTTGGGTTTCCAAAATTGGGGACCCTTCTTTGGGAGTCCCTATCGTCAGGATTGCAATGTGTGGGATTCTATGTGGACACCCCCTCCTCCATTTTCGGAAGCCCCCAAAAGACAACACCAGCGCAATCTAGAAGAAAATTCTAGGCTCCCCAGTCAACCCTTAATACTAGGGGCACCCTTTTCCTAATGTTCAGCTTTTAACGAGAAGGCCTCAAAAATTAAGAGAAAAAGGGTACTATTGGGGGTACCTAGGACCAGAAGGAGAGATCTCTCTGACCCAGGTCGTTACGTGGAGTGCTTTCCTGTCTAAACCTTCTAGGGACTTATGGTAGCTTCCATTTCTGCGTCCATCATTCTATGGAATAACATGGTAGTTTCCCAAAATAGGGGGACCCCAATATAGACCCATTATACTATGGTCCTTAATATTGGGACCCCCAAAATGGTACCCCTAATTTTGGGAAACCCTAAACCCTAAATAGTAGCTTCCATTTTCTTTTCCATTATCCCTATATAACCCCTATATAACCCGCTTAAAAGGTACCCCTAATTAATTTAGGAAACCCCCCAACATAGAAAAGAGAAACCTCATGCAAGGCTGGAGTCGGTGGAAAGATCTTGTTTTCAAAGGGTACCTTGATCTTCCCTTAATAGGGGTCCTAATGGGGAATTTTAGGGTCTAATTTCCCTTAATAGGGTCCTAATTGGGTCTAATTTCCCTTAATAGGGTCCTGATAGGGAATTTTAGGGTCTAATAGCCCATAGTGGTACACGACCCCACACGATCTTGTTTTAAGGACTTGTTTTAAAGATCTTCTTCATAAGTACAATAGTGGCACTACTCATGACCTCACAAGATAATCTGCATTTCCTCTTCCATGATGAGGGGAGCGAATAATATGGGATCTTCTTTTGCCGGCTCATCTGGGCCAGCTGCAGGAGGCATCTTCGTGGAACAAAGCAGTTCCTGCCGCGCACACGAACTGTCTGCTTGTAAAGTCACTCATGTAATGCGAATTTGTGCATGCCCCCTGTTAACCAACACACGCACTCTCCCTCTCTCTCTCTCTCTCTCTCACTTGTTCTTGTTCTCCTGCCACTCTCTCTCTCTCCTTCTCCACTCTCTCTCTCTCTCTCTCTCTCTGTGGGGGGCGAGCTGGTATCAAGGGTTCCGAAGTTCCATACTCTACCCGCCTCATCATCCAAACAGAGAGGTCGTCACGTGCGAGGCGTCACAGCTCGTTCGCAGCGCGCATATCAAGCAATGAACATAACATCTGCACAGTGCGAAGAGCCTGCATCTACCGATCCCATAATCTGGCTGTGCTGAGATTGCATGCATAACTACATACATTTCAGGCCCAGATTGTGCTGAGGTTTTTGCTCATAATGCAGTTAGTATCAGCAAACTCATGCTGACAGTCATGACTTTTGGGCCGGCTGCCCAACATGGTGTGACAGCTTGCAGGCGGCGCAGCGCAAAACATCAGGTTAGGGTTTAGGGTATATTATCCCCCTATAATGGAGAATCAAATGGAAAAGAAAATGGAAAATGAAATGGAAACTGGGGGACTGTAGGGGTTTAAGCAGCTTGTGATGTAGCGCAACAGGCAGAACCATAACCATCGTCATCAGAATGGTACAGGCTGCATATAGGGAGGCAGATACGAACAGCAACAAAGACCGTGGATGCAGTTGGTAGAGCTGGGCAGCACTTTTTGGGAAACTGCGCCTTGCAGCGTGGAGGCAAAGAAAAAACCGTTGTAGGCTTGGAGCTACAGCGGCAGGCGTTGCGATGGGAATGTATGTATGTACAAACTGCATTAGCAAGCAAGATGACCAGAGATTCTGAAGTCTTTTCCTTGGGTGGTACAACATAAGGCGCCTTCAGCTGCTTCTGGCTTGCCATTCGATTTTTTGCAAGCCCACTGGAATTGCACAAGCTGCTGGCTGCATCTTGTTAGCCTCATGCTGTTCTAAGAGAAAGCCTGCCAGGAGTTCGTCAAGCTTTCTGGAATCTATGTCTACAAAATGGACCGTGCAGGCCAGGGTCTGAGGGCGACCGACTTTTGCAGTGGACTGCTATGAGATGCTTCCCCCGCTTTCTGACGAAGCCGCCGTGATGTTCATGATTGTCTGAAGCTGCTGCAGCTTCCATGGATGTCGAACGTCCACGAAGTTCTCCTTGTAAAGCCCAAAGGACCTCATATTGCAAGACAGACACGGCTGGGGGGTCACCACTGAAACCCTTTTCAAGTCAAGAAGCTCATCTACACCATTGTACTTCTCACCATTGATACTCCAGTATGCAAAATCCAGGTCATGCTTCTGCAGATACGTCAGCATGTGCTTCCACCACAGAGATTCCGTATTGGTTCCAAACTCACCAAGCCAAACAGGAGCCTTGCCTGTGTCTGCAGAGAGCAGGAAACCCCATTTGAAGTCCAGTTCCCTCTCAAAAGCCTCATAGGAGCCATACTCCTCCCACATCACTGCAAGCCCGGAGAAAGCCACGCAGACTGCCAGGAGGAAAGCACATCGAACAGTCTGGCAGTGTTTCACCTGACCACTGCTCCAGGATGCGCAGGTTGACACTTGCAGGTCATGCGGAGACTCATCTGCATACCGTGAACCAGGAGAGTTTGGCTGGAGTCTCCTCAAATCAGCTGGTTCCAGATACTGCATGAACCCCAGAAATACAGCTCTCATCCATAACACCAGACTCACCAGTGCCAGCGTTGGTGCGAAAACCGCGCAAATTGTGGCCACCATAAGACCAGTAAAGTCACAGGTTTGCACAAAAGCTGGGAAGACCTTCCTGGGCTGCTGTTAAGTTTATTGGGGAAGCTCTATTATATACTGTGTATTTATATATATATATGTATATACCCAGTATGGTCCTAAACCCTAAGCCCTAAACCACTTAATTTAAGTTCCTTAACAGCAACCCAGCTTCAGGCAGAGTGCGCACATGGCAGTTAAGAGAGCTGCTGTGCAGAACTCCAAACCGCATTTGGCGCCGCCAGGCTGGTCCTTGTGCTTATGAGCTAAAGGGGGTTATATAGGGGATTGTATAGGGGATATAGGGTTTAGGGCTTAGGAAGCTATAGTCTAAACTCCTTAAAGGGGGATTATGTAGGGGATATAGGGGTTATATAGGGATTATAAGGTTATATAGGGATAGTAGGAAACGATTATTTGGGGTTTAGGGTCTAGGGTCTAAACTCCTTAAAGGGGGTTCTATGGGGGATTATATGGGGACTACTACAGGGGTTAGTAACCGGGACTTGGAGTTTACACTATCGCTCATATAAGTGAGGCGTGCTCTGCGAATGATACTTGTACAGTAACAGGGGGGTTTAGGGTTTAGATTTAGATGCTAACTTCTGATAAAAGCGCTCATGGACTAAAGTGAACTCTTACCTGCATGCCTGCATTATTCAGTGAACATTGTAGCCGAGTGCGGATGCCCCACAAAGCCAAGCAATCACACTCCCAACTAATTGCAAGAAAGTAATCCCTATATTCCCCCAATAGGCCAGTCCCCTAAACCCCCAAGACCCCTAACCAGTAGTGCTTTGGGGACCTAGACTTTGGGATGGCAGTCTACCCTGCTGTTGGAAAGGAGGAGTGAAAAGACTAGATGCCAGAACTAACTATATGGGTGGTTGTCAAAATTATGGTCCCGTTTTGGGTACCCTAAATATTAGGGGCCGTATTATAATAGGGATTCCAAAAAGGGCCCATAATTTGGACAACCACCCATATAGGCACAGCACAGAGCCTGTGCCCAAAAACCAAGGTAACACTGCTGCACGTCGTCTTCATGCTGTGCTGAGCTTCCCCAATTCTGTCAGCCTGTCTCCGACAGCAGCACCGCAGGCATCCGAAGATGCGGGAGATGCAACGCAGGATTCGCTGAGTTGTAGGGTCGTGTCTCCGACCTCAGCTGCAGCCTTCTGCGCTTCTGAGCTGGTTGACATTCAGCACTATGCTACAGAGACTACTGTCAAAAAAGTCTGTTTCAGGCTACTGGTATAACCCAGATCATGTCAGCGTGCACCCGACTTGGAGGGTCGGGGGGGGCTTAGTAAGTATATGCATTGTACTTACAACGCCTACCACAGTTGTCTCCATTGTGAACTCAGTACGCCTAACCCGCGAAGTCCCTCACCAGTCGATTTTTGAACAAGCTACGAGCGCGTCGGATGAGAAGGACAAGCAACCTCAGCAGCTTCTCATCTACAGCACATCTGTGTGCATTGAATGGAAGGTTTGTTAAGCTCTGGGCCAACAGGCGAAGAGGAAGAATGCAATCACCAAACAGTACATCCTTGAATGTGAGAAATTGAGGGGTTATGGTAAGGGGTTTAGAGCATGCAGTCCATCCTGAGATTATTCAAGTTCAAGTCTGTGGCTCGCACTGAATGACAGTCCTTGCCAGAAAGTGGAAATTGAACCAGTTGTACCTCTATTCGCGCTCTGCCGATGGGTTGAGGTTGGCAAGCAACTGCTTAAAGCTGCAATAAGTCACTCATGGGCTGTGTAGATGACACGATCTGCCAGGAACGGAACCTGCACAAAAGCTACCAGCTATCAAGACCATATGCAATTCGGATCTAAACGCCGCCAGCCTCCGAGTGAACCGGATAAGTCGGAACCTGCACCATAGAACTGCGACTGCGCGGAGGCCTGCCTAACCTGGCCAGAAGGTACTTGCCTGGCAAAGAAGCAGGCTGAAGTACACGCCCGAGATGATGATGAGCATGTCTTCCTAGACGTGGGTTAAAGGGACTCTACTGGGAACCCCAAATTGGGAACCCCAAGAATATAGCAGGAATATAATGGAATATAAGGACCCTGGTAGGTATATTCCTATTATATACCTACTATATTCTTGGGGTTCCCTATCTGGGGTTCCCAGTAGAGTCCCTTTATGGG